TGTAGGAATGGCTCCCCCTTCCTAGTTCTGAAGGGGCTAAAAGATTTGCTTCCAATACCAATGCTTTGCTGACCAACACGTTTGCTGTTGGGATGGCCTGGCTGCCCCTGCCAGGAGCAATGGGCTGGGGTCCACAGCAGGACCCGCTTCAGTAGTGGGTTTCCTTAGTGGGCAGGAGAGTCCCAGTTAACCTTTGGTGATGGAGGAGCCCTGCTGAGGGGTAATGGTGTGGTCAGGGTCTCGCGTGGGCATGGTCTGCCTGCCTGCCCACCCAAGCCAGAGGAGGAGCCACCGCAGGGCTCTGTGGGACGTGTGGGCAGGAGGGGAGTGGGCGCTGCCCACCATCATACATGGCTTGTCCCAAGTGCACCAGCTCACTGTCAGCCTAGGGCTTTGGCGAATCTAGCAGAAAAGCAACCACTGTCAGGAATATTCCCCTACTGCGTGTCTTCAGATACTAACCTGCTCATGGGAGCTTGCTTTATTGCTGTTCTCAAGTTAAAAGTTTTCCTATTTAACAAAAAAAAAAAACCCACATGAACCAGATTCACTTCAATGCACAGAGTATCCAGGTGGTACTGTGGGAGCATGCGTTATAATTCGGGGTTAAACCCCCCACAGGCACAGGCTTTGCTTTGAAGGTGTGGCTGTAGTTAAAATTCAGGAGATGAGAGAGATGGTTGAATCTAAAGGGCAGTAAGGTACTCAGGTCCATGCAGATTGAGGATGCTAGAAGAGCTTCAGCCCAGTTTCACAGAAAAAAAGGAAGACAAAGCAAAAGCTGCCCTAACCCTGATGCGTCTTGGCAGCGGTTTAACCTGAGCATGCCGTGGATGTGGCTGCTTCTGCCTGGTCGCTGCAGCCAGCGTTGCCACAGGGCAGGGGGAGTTTTAGAAACCTTAGACCTTCAACACCTTCTGTTTATTTTTAATTTCAGCCTTAACTTCTGATTTTGCTTGATGTTTGGAATAACTGTAATTGTAACCTGCTTGTAATGTGCTTTGCCCTAAATTACTGACGAGGCTTTTCAGCCTTTGCCAGCCAGTGAGTGTTAAAGCAAAGTGGCAAACCGGGCAGCTACTCTTGAAAGTACAGGGGGTCTGGCGAGGGCTTGCGCGGTGTTTGGTTGCCCGGGCTTTGTCCATGCTAATTGCTCCCCTCTGATAGTGATAATGCTGGTGACAGCATTTGCAGCCGAGGCTGTGCCTCTTGCAGCAGCATGGCCAGGCTGATGGGTGCTCAGAGCTCCCAGGGCCTGGAAGATGGGATGCTGGAGCTTGGGAACCGCTCCACTGTTTGCCTGGCTTCAGCGGGAGTTTTCACCTGTGGGGTGGAAGTGCCCTGGCTTAGCAGGAGGTGGGAAAAGGCAAGGTTCTGCTCTGGGTCCTCCAAAAAGCGATCTAAGCCAAGTCCCGGTGCAGGGGGACAGCGTGTGTGAGCTCGGGCTAGAGAAGTGGCGGTGATGGACAGTCCCTACAGCACTGAATCTACCTCCTAGGGAAATCTGAGAAATGGGTGTTGCTATGTCCTATTTCAAGGTAAAGTTTTAATCAGTTTGCCCTTGGTGCGAAGCACTTGGGCTATTGTGGTGCTATTGTAAACCGTTCGGCAGCTTAGCACAGTAGGGCTGAACTCACAGCTCCTAGCCCACAGGCTGGAGGTTTCTTCGCCGGCTGACTCCCATCCCCAATAGCTGGGGCTGGGCTTCAGCACGTGTGACAGAAACAGGACAAGGCGTGACTCGGTTCCTTTGATCTAAGATGGTTTTGAGACTCAAACCAGCGTGCCAGTGGGCCCCGTGGGTGTAGGGTGCAAGTGGAGCCATGTGAAGCAAGGCAAGCGTCCGCTAACTGCATGTTCTTTGTGTCCGTTTGGTACTGAGCTGGTTTCAGTTTTTGGTTTTTGTTTTTTTCCTGATGTTTCCAAGTTGTTGACTTCAAGGAACTGGGTTTTGTGTATTTTTTTAGACACTGGGAACTTGTTAAAAGGAAGAGCAGCAGCATCGGGAGGCTCAAAGTAGAGTGAGGCTGGAGCTGAGGGTGGCCCCGGCCGATGCGGGTGGGAGGAGGTCAGACGTGTTGGCATTGGCTGGCACGGGCAGGCAGGGGGCAGCTCTTCCTGCTGCGGGCAGGAGAAGCCTTTTTCGGCAGCAGTGTTCCTGGCCCTGCTTAACCACGGTGCAGAGTTCACCGCCCCCCAGCCTGGCTTTGAACGTCCCCTGCCACGCTCCGGTACCCTGTGCGCTCAGCTGGGGTCCTGGCTGCCGACTAGGCTGGGGGTCCTGGGGAGGGTGGCCCTGGCTGCCTGGGGACAGGGAGGAGGATGTGCGGGGACTGCTCATGGCAGTGGCGTAAGTTGTGCTGAAGCTGTGAGCAGGAGGTTTGCTCATGGGGCGGGGGGGAAACCTTGGTGTGAGCCTCAGGCTGGCAGCAGAAGAGTCCCCGGCAGGGTCCTGTCCCACAGACTTGGCCGGAGGCAAACGTGACGGGAGCTGGGAGGCCTGGCTGAGGCGAGAGTCGGCCGGAGCTGCGTTGGGGCACACGTGGGTGCTCAGCCCTGGCCCAGACTTGTCTGTTGGTTCTAAGTGGTGATGCTAGAGCGGGTGAGAGAAACCTACATATTTCCAGCATGTATATTATTTTTAGAAGAGGGAGAGGGGAGAGTCTTGGACCATTGATTACTTTCATTTTGCTCCCCTTAGACTGTTGGCTGTGTATGTGAAACTTATAATGAAAAGAGGGTTGCCCTGCCCAGGTGCTCCCAGAACATGTACTGTAATTCTTTGTATATAGAAGAAAAATTACTGTAAAGTAAAGTTTAACTTTACTCTCGATGTCCTCTTGTGGTTTGTCTTGCCAAGCAAGGGGGTGCGGGGGGGAGCCCAGCTGTGCCCAGGGACCCGGGGCAGGGATGGGAGAGCCCCGACAGCCTCGTGTGGCAGTGGCGCAGGTGGGGGGACAGCTCAGACCACAATGCATTTTATTTACATTGTACACCTCGAGAGAAGACGCTTAAATTAATCTGCAAAGAATCGGGCAGCATCTCCAAGAGAATAAGTTAACGGCGGCCACTGGGCCACAGCAGTGACTCGGGGAAGCGGCTCCCACAAACACCAAGTGGCAGGGAGGGGGTCCCC